CATACAAGACCTTTCCTATTAAGGTTTCTCTATGGCTTGATCTCTTAAACTACCTGTTCTCTCATTTGCTCTTCTCCACTCAGAATACCAATCCTGAATACATAAACTGTTCTCTTTCCTCAAAACTTTTGCCTCTTAACCTGGAAGCATGAGTGGCTTTCTCCCTTTTTATTATTATGGTCTCAACCAAAATGTCCCCTACTCAAAACAGGCCTTCTTTGAACATCCTTGTTGAAATAGCAACACACTCCAGTGCTACTTTCTATCCTGCAAATCCTGCATTATTTTTCATTTTAATATTTACCCTACCTGAAGTGTTGTATATTTATTTATTTGTTGTTTATTTCTTCTCACTAGAACCCAAACACCATTAATGCATGTACTTATAATGTCTGCTTTGATGTCTTAGAAAATCATCAAGCATATGGTAAGTATTCAATAAACTGTTCCACCAACAAATCAGTGAAGGAATAGGTGGACTAGTCAAAAAGTGACTAGAAATGCAGAAATACACCACAGTGGGCTGAAAAGGTGATTTCTAAAACTAAAAGAGACTACTAAATCTAATATATAAAAAGCAACAACAATAAGATACAATAAATCTTCCATTGTACACCAAGCAGAGTTAGATTTCTGTGGGAGCACACAAATCTAACTCTGCTTGGTGTACAGTGGAAGATGCTGTGAAGGTCACACCACAATTTTTGACCCCTCTCTTCTAGAGTCTCCAAAGATGCTCTTTTCACTCCTGATATTGGTAGACAAGATAAATTGAAGCTACTCACTATATTGACGTTATAGCAAAAGAGAAAAATATCAACAGTGCTTTGTTTACAGTGAGTTTCCCCCCAGTATTTTTTTTTAAATTGAGTAATATTCTTTCAGTGAAAGCCATGCATTTAGGAGTCACCAGGTTATCCTACTATGGAGGTTTGGAAAATTAAAGAAAAGTTTACTCTGGTGTGTTCCTGATTAAATGATACCCTATGCCCTTATTGTCATTTTGGTTGTCTTTTTTCCAACTAATGTTTTACTACACTTATTAGTTATTCATAAAGACAGTTCATTTACTTTTTCCTTCAAAATTAATAAACATTTCTATTAATTAGTTTTCATAAGAACCTGATATACAAGCTCAACTGAATAGCCAAAGTTATAAAATAAATAGCACGACTTGTGAAAATAAATTTTAGGGGGAGGGGTACTAGAAATTGAACATAGGGTATTCTACCACTAACCTACATCCCCAGCCCTTTTTTATTTTGTAACAGGGTCTTGCTAAGTCGCTTAGGGCCTTGTTAAGTTGTTGAGACCAGCCCCAACTTTCGATCCTTCTGCCTTAGCCTCCTGGTTACTGGGATTACAAGTGTGCACCACTGTGCCCAGCTACAAATGAATATTGAATAGTGTAAACCCATATCAAAAATTATAACTCAATGGGGAAAAATTAAAGGAATTTCCTTTAAAATCAAGAATGAGACATTGGTCTCTACTCTCAGCACTCTTTTTAAATTTAGCCCTGGAAACTTTAGCCTGAAAAAGAAATAAAAGAGATTCAAAAGGAAAGGAGAGAGTGAAATTATCTCTGTTTGCCTATGATATGATTCTATACTGAAAAATTCCTCAAGACTCCCCAAAGTATCTCTTAGAATGATAAACCAGTCTTCCAATGTAGCAGGATACAAAACTAACATATAAAAGCCAATAGCTTTTCTATATAGTGAATCTGCTGGGCGGGGGGAATGAGAAAAACAGTTGCATTCATAATGGAAGGAAGTAAGGAGGGAGGGAGGGAGGGAGGGAAGGAAGAAAGGAGGGAGGGAGAAGGGAAGGAAGGAAGAAAGAAAGGAAGAAAGGAAGGAGGGAAGGAAGGAAGGAAACAACTCCTAGGAATAAATTTACCCAAGAAGGTAAAGATATCTACAATGAAAACTACACAACACTGAAGAAAGAAACTATAAAAGACCCTGGAAGATGGAAAGACCTCCAATGTTGTTCATTAGGCAGATTTCCTATCCAATATTTCATTTAACATCCAGGTGAACAAGGCACAGCCATCGTGGTGGTGCATGCCTAGAATCCCAGTGGCTTGGGAGGCTGAGGCAGACAAGACAGCCGTAGCAAAAGTGAGGCTTTAATTTATTTTATTTTATTTAGGGACTCTGTCTCTAAATAAAATACAAAATAGGGCTGGGGATGTGGCTGTGTGCCCTTGAGTTCCATCCCCAGTAACCCCCCACTCCCAGAAAAATAATAAAGGCACAAACATTAGTGGGATAGTATTTACTAGGTTTTTAAAAATAACAATCTTTTTTAAAATTGAAAATGGTATGGTTAAAATTAATTTAGCCTGAAATGTCATTCTAAAGATAAAGTGTAAAGTAAAGCATTCATCATGATAAATGTTTAAACCGAAACAAGATATCTCCCTTCAATGGTTCTGAATTTCCAAAATGAACCATGGAAATGGAGGGACCACCTTTTTATTAGTAGACTAGTTTTCCCAGAAGAAAAGGGAAAATCAAGTCCTGCAATCAGTCACCAATACTTATCTTTCAGAGGTTTTTGTCCTCCAATATCAGAGTGGAGGGTGATGGGTCGCTGCACATACTTTATTGTAGGAGGCTAAGGAATATCCCTCACCCATGCAACATTCATGGAGAAAAATACAACACTTTTTTTTTCTAGTTAGCATATTAGTCAAGTATCATAATCTTAGAGAGACATATAGGAATTATAACATTATATTTTTTTCCTGGTATGTTTATAAGAAAAATTACGTTTTCCATGGTTTCAATGATTTTCAACAGATTTTTGAAATTTATGATATACCAGACTGCTAAGGTACTTCTAAAGATATTTTCAATACATCTTGCCTTTACATAAAGATAAATAAATATTCCATTACTCATTTACATAGTGAAAATTTATAAATTAAAGATAAAAGAAGAAAATGCTGGAGTTTTATTTCATAATTTTGAAATTTAAATTTTACATACTTTTAAGTACTTATGACATCATTTTACAAGTAATAAAATTTTTTAAAAAAACATAAATATTCTTTTCACAAAAAAGTAATTTAAGAAAGACTACATTAGCATCGAATGTCAATATTACATATTATAAGCACTTGAAAGTTTTAATTGCTTATAAAACCACTTAAACACATTAACTTAGAAACAATATTGATCTCTTAGAACCAGTTAAAGAATCTAAGTAGAATAATTATATTTATATTAGCATTATGTCAGCAGATTCTGGAACATATCTGACCTACTTTTCTACCTTTGTAAAAAATACATTAATTTTTGAGGACTATAGTCAATATCAATATATTAAAAAGAGAAAATGGTTTCTGGTGAAGCTTTCAGAGTTCAAATAAAGTCTTGTTAAAGATTTGTTTCTTCTATAAATTTCATCCCACATGCCAAATAAAATGGAAATATCAAGTCATGCTAAACTTTGAAGCATTAGTATTATGTTCTCATTTTAATATAAAATAACAAAGGAAATATTTCTCAATAAATAATGGAATCAAATATTATTCTGCATGTAACCATTCTTTTGATACAGAAATTAGCTTTTAAAAATTATTTCTTTATTATTAAGCAAATAAAGCATTCATAAGGGGAAAACTAAACATCCTCAATGGAATTCATGACCTTTTATAATTTTCAACAATAAAGAAATACTGAGTATAAGAGATCCATAATTAGGCATAAGCAAGATAAAGTTCCTCATGGTTTGGATGTGAGATGTTCCCCAATACTTCATGTGCGAGACTATGCAAGAAGATTTAGAAGAGAAATGATTGGGTTATGATAGTCTTAACCCAATCAGTGAGTTAATTCCCTGAATGATTATCTGAGTGATAACCTAAGGTAGTTAGGGTGTAGATGGAGGAGGTGGATTGGGGGCATGCCTTTGGGTTATGAATTTTCTATATGGGGAGCAGAATATCTCTCTTTCTGCTTCTTGATCATCCTGAAAGCCCATTCCCTCCACCATACTCTTCTGCCATGATGTTCAGCCTCACCTCCAACCCCAAGGATTGGAGCCTACTTTCTATGAACTGAAACCTTAGAAACCATGAGCCCTCAAATAAACTTTTCCTTCTCTATAATTATTCTTGTCAGGTCTTTTAGTCACAGCAGTGAAAAAGCTGACTAAAACAAACTTCAATAGCATAGAGTTTTGACATGAACAAGGAAAAATATCTCATAACAATAACACTTTTATGACAAATCATGAAAATCATGAGTCTCAAAAGTATGAAGTGCTGTTTTAAACCAAATTATACGGAAAGCAATTCAGGTGTCTACATCATTCCAATTTTATCATTTTTTTCCTCATACTCTTAAGAATTGCCTTTATATAATTCTAATTATATTCACTTTTCTTGGTACAAATATAAAATAGTTGATCTCAAGCTTTGGCTTAAAGTGAAACACCTGTTCTTAAATGGGGAAATAACATACTTCATGTTTTTAATGTACATATAGCATCTCTACTCATAGCATTTAAATATTTATTTGCATATTCGCTTAAATACTTAATAAATATTTCAGAGAATGAGTCCATATTTCAAATCTTAATGTTGACTTTTATTTTGTAATGATTGCATCATTACTTTTTGGTGACCTAGCATTGCTAACAAAAATGTAACTGCTGATAAGGCTTAAATAATTCATTCTAAACCTTTAACTTGAATTAGTATAAACAACAGACGTGAAACTCCTAAATCACATGCATCAAAGATTATGATAAAATCCCTGTATCTTAGATGTAGGGCAAACAACTGTTCCACAAAGTAGTTAACACCTTTACCTTCAGCTAGCAATAAAATAACAATGTAGAGAAAAAACAATGGTTTAAATATTTGAAATCATGTTCTTAAAGATTAAAACAGCTTACCTTGCTTCCTATGCATCAACTATCTAGTTTCAACTATTTTTTAACCTAAAAATATGAAAAAAAATCCTTTCTGGTTATTTCTTTACCTTGAAAGGCACTGGCTCTTCAGTGAGAGGACTAACAGGAAGCGAAGTGGTGCTGCTTGCTGGGCTCATGTCTGCACTCTGTGAAGAAAGAGAAACTACAATGAACAGGGGCCTTTCTGTAGTCATTCTTGCCACTCATACCTTAGAATCCAATGCTTCTTGTTATAAGAAACAGATAAATAAATAAGGACATATGAGAATCCAAATCATGATTATTTAATCATCGCTCATATAGAAATAGTTATCTGGGAAATTAATCAAACTATCGTTCTTCATGGATCTTTTTAGTGTATTTCATTAAATATAATGGCTACCAAATGCATCTCATAAATACAAAGATATTTAGCATTATCTTTGCTGAACACATAGATTTGCATTTTCTTTTAAAAATTAATCTGTATCTGTAATGACCTATTACATTGCTATTTCAATGTCTTTTAGTTGATTTTGCAACATGCATCATGCATTTTTTTTCCTTCCACAGAAATTTAAGTTAATGGACCTAGTTTTATTTTTCATCATAGAAACCATATCTGTCAATAATATACAAATGAAAACAAAAGAAATATTAAATTTAAGAAGTTCCTATATTTATAGTTTCTGGTATTCTAAAAGCTCTCTTACATTTTTCTAGATAAAAAAATAAATACAAAGCATGTAATCAATTATAAGAGAATGATAGGAATGTTGTTAACACTGTCCTAATCCTTTGAAAATATAATCGATTAAAACTTCTTAAATAAGGGCTGGGGTTGTGGCTCAATGGTAGAGCGCTTGCCTAGCTGGGTTTGATCCTCCGCACCATATAAAAATAAATAAATAAAAACAAAGGTATTTTTAAAAAAAATTCTTAAATAAAAGATTAACCTTTAAAAAGACATGGCCTTAGAAGTTCATTATTTATTTAATTTACAAAAAGCAAGAAAAAAGATACTAATAATAGGCAGCAACAGAAGATACTTCATTATATCCTTAACACATTCTCTCAGGATTTTTTCCACTTAAGTAGATAAGCAAATACGAATTTGAAAATAATATATGCTCATATTTTTCTACTTGGTTTCAAATATACATGCACACAAATACAGAAAAAAATTTCAATGAATTTTAAATAAAGAATTAATCTTGACTCAGATAAGAGAACAAGTTTGCCTAGATGGTACAATTGCTACACATTCTTAGTGTCTATTCAAACATTATTTCAATTCTTTTGATTAAAATGTACAATAAACTGAACATATTTTAGATAGCCATTAAGAGTACTTTAGATTTACTATTCCAGAAACCATGAATAAGAACTCTAAAATAGGAATGAAGATATTCAGTATAATTTTCACATAATATATTGCAACTATTTTAGAAATTGATATACGGCTACTTATTTAAAATGTTGGTAGGAGAACTCTAGTAAAATCAGAACAATACTTTTAATCTACTAAAAGTAGAAAATACATGTAGCAAATACTTGAATGAATTGCTCATTCTCTTTTATTTCTAAATTTATCTAGTGATTCCAGGATATTTAACTGATAAAAATTAGGAAATATTATCAATTATTGCCTGTCACTATCTGGTTACATGATACAAGAGAGAAGTACAGCTTTTCTAATCAACTAAGCGATTGGAGGATTCTAATAGAAGAAATGAATGAAACTTTTTGCAGAAATAGGAAAAGATCATAAGCAAGACTCCTTGTGCTGCTTTTGTCAGTGTGAGATTTCACATGAGATTTTAAGCAAGTGACAGAAAAGATTATACACAGATGAATTATCTGATATTGACTCATAAAATTGATAGTCTGCATATCCTATTAATAAATCATCCCTTAAAAATGTATATTCAGGAGACAGTGGTAACATTCAGTTTTGGAAATTCAAAAGCCTGGATCATACTCTTGCAAATGAAAGTTTTTGAACTCCCATAAGACAATGAGCTTAAAATCAAGCTCTATAGCAAACTTTCTCAAGGGTAGAGGTCTCCTACAACTTCCTGGAAATAAATGTGTATAATTCTAAGGAATTTTGGAAAACAAGATTCCAAGCTTCATTGCCTCACACAACACTGATTATGTGAATGTCATTCTTAAAGAAAACTTTGTTCTGGCTTTTACTGTCAAATCTATTTTATAGTAAGTGTTACATTTTAGTTCTGTTGCTCTAAGGAAATCTTGAGATAAGTGTTTTGAAAAACAAATCAATCTACATGACAACATTTGATATACTGCACTAAATTATCGAGTTGAGAAAACATAAAAAAAATCAGAAGTATCTTCATTTATTATTGTTTCTCCATTTCCTTTTCAGTGTTCTATAATTTATGTGTCATTCCACTATGTTTATGCTTTTTTAGATAGAATTACAGTAAACACTTGAAGATAAGTCTTTTCTGTACTTCATATTTTAATTCATTTGCCCTTTCCTTTGAAGATAGTAATATTGATGCAAGTGTCTACCAAAATATACATTAATGGCAGTTGTGGTGACTGTGCCTATAATTCCAGTTACTTTGGTGAGAAGGGAGGATCCAAGTTCAAGACAGCCTTGGAAACTTGGAATCTGTCTCTAAATAAAATAAAAAGATCTGTTGTAGCTCAGTGGTAAAGCATCCCTGAGTTCACATACATAATATACATGATAGACATTATATATATGAAATCCTTTTGTAAGTTACTTTTTGAGTTTTCAAAATGTAGCAATATATGTTAATTCACAATTTTCTTAATAAAATAATGCTAAATTATGGCTTCATTTACTCTTTTTATATTTAAGAGACTCTGGGAATGGTTGGTTGACAACAAAGTGAAAGTGAATCCCAAGAGATTCATTAATACACTTGGGCTTTGATATCCACTGAAGACTGCATTAGACGTTTTTGTATAAGAAGCCTATCCCAAATCTAAGAAGTGTCCTGGCCTGGCTGGTTCTATATCCAACAGATAAACTGCTTCTTTCTGATGCTAAAGTGAATAAATAATATGAACCTAATATTTTTCTACCCTTAAAGTATTATTCCACTCAAATTAGCAGACTTCATTTCTATCTCATTTTGTCAACAATATTTTATTTTTCTCTGAATTGAGCTTCATGTTACCTATGTTCTTTAAGTTCAATAATAAAATCTAGACAGATATTTACTTTTGAACATTTTGTACATGTTCTGATGAATATCATCTTCTTCTCAATGCATGTTGCTCTCTAGAATTCTCTTTACTTGACTAATTTTAGAGAAACTACTTGCTACTTTGTTACTGCTGTTTCAGAAGATGAGTCTTTTATGCCATGGTTTGTATAGGTGTCATCCATAGACACATGTGTTAAAGGCTTGGTCCCCAGACTGTGGCACTACTATTGGGAAGTGATGGATAGAGGCGGGGCCTCTTGGAAGGGGATATTGAGAACTAGCCATTCTTCTTTCTATCTTTTACTCCCCAGCCATCATGTGGTAAGCAACTTCTATGACCACACACTATCAACCACTCCAAACAAATGGGTCAAATAACTATGGACTGAGACCTCCAAAATTGTGAGCCAAAATAAATCTATGTGATTCTGTAATCTGTATTTGGGGTAAAAATGGGAGTTCATAACCCACTTGAATCTAATGTGTGAAATATGATATGTCAAGAGCTTTGTAATGTTTTGAACAATCAATAAAAAAAATAAAAAAATAAAAAAAAAAAAAAGAAAACAGAGAGCAGGAAGAGAGAAGATAACTTGATTATAATCCCCAGGGACTGTAGGTGACAGACACCGGGATGAGGAGGAGGCCTGGGGGGCGGGGTGTACCAATGGCTGCAGAGGTAGGCAAGTCTACACTGTGGACAAGGAGGAAACTGTGTGCTTGATGAGGTGGGAGGCAGGTGTCTGCTAAAGATGAGTGGGGAGAAGGGAAAATAAAAAAATAAAAAAGAAAAAAAATGTGAGGTGATGGTTATGTTAATTAACTTGATTTAATCATTCTACAATGAATACATGTATTAAGACATCCCATTATGCCCCATACATATGTAATTTATATTTTTAATTAAAAATAAATGTTCAATAAACAATAAAACTTCTATAACCATTTCTGAGGAAAAAAATAGAGGAAAATTGGTAATGAATATATAAGAGTTCTCTATACTTCCTCTGAAACTTTTTTTGTAAATCTAAAACTATTATAAGATTAAAACTTAAAAACACTTAGCAATATAACTGAGTTACTCAGGGTTATAATACATGATAGTCATTATACTCTTAGTTTCTAGGCTTTTATCGGAGTTCTTATAACTTTCATAAACACAAATTTTGACAGATCATTTTATCAGGATGCACAATATCCTCCACCAAGGAAACTTAATTATCCAAAGATCTCAGAAGTTGATGCTAAATTGTTTTGCATGCTTTTATGTTCCATGTGGAAGTGTTGAAGGAAAGCTTCAGCCATATAACATGATCTATTTGGTTGGGTCCTCTTAAGTTGCTTGGTAGAGTGAGTTTGCATTATTAATATTTACTGGAAGCTATAATTCCATATTATAGATTTATTAATTATGTTGTCCATGAAAGCATAATTAATGAATCTGTCTTATGGGATTAAAGCTTGTTTAAAAGAATTTTTTGAAGTAAAGCATGATCAATTGGACTAAAATTCTTTGGGTACATAAACAGATCTGAATATAAGTGAAATATTTTATTTTTTTAAGCCATCAGGTTAAGTTTTATAATTCTTTAGGTCTAATAATTTAAGGCTTACCCTAAAACCTAACTTAAGGGTGTATTAAAACAGTCCTAAAATTTTATAGAAATATACACACACATTGAAATGTATTGCTGCTATAACAATGTTATTCTTATGTAAAGTATGTAGGTAATTTTTATTTGTGTTATACCGATGATATACTATTCTTAATATTTTCATTTTTACACAAGAAAATACATTTATTCATACAGCTGTTCAACATGTATTGAGTATACTTAGGCTTCCATATGCTTAGATTTTAAGTTTTGCTGTGATTCACCCTGCTGGGAAGATGTGATCAGACTTGCTGTAGACCTAAGGACTTAGTAAGAAAAGGAATATAGAATATCTAATTATGA